AAAAAAAAAAAAAAAAAAAAAAAAAAAAAAAAAAAAAAAAGCAGTTCACTTAGGGCCGGCCCGATGGCGCACTGGATAGTGCGCCGCTTGGGAAGCGTGGCGGCGCTCCCGTCCAAGGGTTCGGATCCCACATATGGACCGGTTCCCGCTCACTGGCTGAGCGAGGCGCGGGAGCAACACCGAGGCTTGCAATCCCGTTGCCGGTCCCCGGTCCGGTACGGGGGCAACACTGAGGGTTGCGATCCGTTGCCGGACACGGAAAAAAGACAAAAGACAAAAAAAAAAAAAAAAAAGAAATAGGAGTTTATTGCAAAGGTTACCGACCCTCAGTGGACAAGACATTCTGGATTCTGGAACTTCCAAAACTGGAATATATGGCAGGCCCCATGAAAAACTGACAGTGAGCTCAAGCTGCCTCACAGATGAGTCACACCTTCCAGGAGACAGGATCTAAATGAGCCGTTTTGTCACTACCCAGCATGAGGTGTTGGATAGGTGGGGTTTCATGTCAGGCCAATTGTAGATATTTTTGACTTCGTTCACATTCAACCTATTACACAGATTTTTTGTCAATTGATTTCTGTCTATGCAGGAGACCATGGAGACTGTTCAAGGAGGGGGCTACTACTCAGCTCCAGCTGATTCTTGCCATGCGGAAATAGAGGGTCAGATGATCTTCAAGAGGTGTAAAATCCCAGTGAAATGTAAGTATCAGCAACTAATTGAAATGAAAACAACAACAGCACTGTTTAGGCCAAAAAAAAAAAAAAAATCGTCCTATTTGCTACCACTTACTTTAGTATGTCTCTTCAGTATTAGGAGATATCTGGCTACAGAAATGACTTTGGGATCAGTTTCTCCAGCGACTTTTTAATGGAACACTGAAGAGTGACTTTGAGATCAAGTTGACTTGCTCTTGGTGACCAGATCTGATGTATCCAAAGGTTTCCCAGCTTTAAGGGCCACCAATTCTCCTGCATGCTTCACCCCAGCTGAACTCCTGAATCCCTCTGTGTGTCTGAGGATGTTTGGGGAGTCTGGAATCGATGATCCAGCAGTGTGTTTCAGGAACATCACATCCGGAATGAATCACCCTTCACTCCCTTTAACAGATCAGTCTTCAGGGGAAGCTGATTGCTCCCCTATCCATATCATACTTTGATTCATTTACACTTAAGTGATGAAAGTGGTCTTTTCCTTCTCTTTCTTTAAATGGATACTAACCCAGGAGGGGCTTGGGGAGTTGTAAAGGGGAGTGCTGACTCCTTGGATACACTCTTGGTTGCATTCTCAAATGGCCCACTCAATTAGGGGTAATATTTCATTGACTTGTGTGTCTGATGGCTCCCTAGCCAGCAGTGTTTTCTAAATGGTCCTGAGGCAAGACTTTGGGCTTTGAAAACAGCCCTTTATCACCTTTATGTCTGGGGCTGCATTGGCACAGCCCAGATTGAAGCAGTTATCTCCATCGGGGAAGCAGCCACAGTCTCTGGCTGGAATGTCTTGGCTTGGCTGGCTTCACTTGTCAAGAGAATGGGTATTCTGACACTATCTAGGGCTGATTTCATGCAGCTGCATTATCTATATGTTGAATCTGACCATTCAGGTACTTGTCTGTATTTTCTATAACAGAAAGAAATGGTTGGATTAACAAAAAAATCAGGGTCTTTATATCTTTTCCTGTGTCTGCACAGGAAGTGTGGATGTGTTCAAATAATCATCTAATTTCTCCAGAAGACTTCATGTCAATGCATGTTCCAAATTGACCTTAGCTTTAAGTGTGAAGCAAGCAGTTACTCTGCATGGTATTTACATCAATACTCCAACTTTTGTTAGAGAAATTTAATTCAATGGTTGTGTGTGTGTGTGTGTGTGTGTGTGTGTGTTTGTGTGCTCTAGTCTCTAGGTGTGGACAACAGTGGAAATTTTCCTAGTGACTGGAAGAATACACAATGTAGATGACCTTCTACTCTATCTAATTATAAAACTGATATGATCTGAATCTATATGAAGTAATTGATTGGGCTCAATGATAAAACGTTCTCACTAGATAAACCTCACACATCCTTATACAGCTACATCTTTGTCTCTGGGTATAATCTGTGGGAAATACAAAGCCTGGAAAGCAGCTGCCCATTTTAGGAATGTGAAAGACTATATGGCAGCCTTGTGAGGACAGGAACTACAACAATAACAGCTTAAATAAATTGAGGATACTCTGTATAGATACCTCTCTGATAATGTGGATACACTTTGCATCTGTGAACTCAGTACTCACAGCAACCCTTTAAGGTGGTTGTTATTATTATCCCTATTTTACAGATGAGAAAACTGAGGCATAGAAAGGTAAGTCACTTGCCAAAGGCCACACCATGAGAAGCAGCAAAGCTTAGATTTGAAAATGAGCAACCTAGGTCTAGGGTCTGTTTCCCTACTTACCTTGTAATCTTGCATTTCTGGTTCTATAGCTGAATACCTCGGTCTTGCATCTAGCAGATGGGTTGGACAAATTCTAATGCTTGGATAAAAGACCTTTAAAAGACATGAATTTCCATACAAATGCCAGTTTTATTGTTACTGTTGATACTGTTTTTATTAAGAGTAATAGCTACCTAATACATTGGATCCTTTCTGTGCGCCAGGCACCGCACTAACACCTCACAGGTATCATTTCATTTTTTCCTCATACCAATTCCATTTTGCAAGTGGGAATGCTGAGGCACTGAGCAGGTAATTATTTACATGTAGAAGTCATCCTGCTGGAGAATGGCAGTGCCAGAACTTACAGGGAAATATGTTCTTTGTCCAGAGCCCTTTGCTTTGACTATCAAGGCAATAAAATGTGATTGCTATGAAAAATTCCATCTCCTTATCTGTCAAAAGTCACTCTTCTTGGGGTTTTCTCAGGAAAAATAAAAACCAAACCACAACAATAGTAATAAGCAAACAATAGAGTTTGAGGTACACTCAAATGACAAATATTTATTGGATAATATAAAAATGATTGTGCTAAATGGCCCAGGGCAGAGTTTTCCAACATTTCAGTCTTTGCCAATCATATTCATGATTTTTGCCATATATCAATTCCATGAGAACTCTTACTTAAAATTTTTCTATGTTAATTCATTTTTGAAAAGAAAAGTATATTTATGTTTCATTGTCATGATACTTTCAGGGTTTCTTTACATATATATATTTCTAGAACACATTAAAATATCATTGCTACTAAACAGAAAATGCTTTCTATTTAGTATGTAGAAATGTTTTTACTATTTAGTAATGTTTTCTCTTTAGGAAATATCTGTGTATTACTACTTAAAGTCATTATTCACACCTCTTCTATTTCACTTACCACTCCATGGGAGACACAAGGATACAAAGATGCACAAAAACTGCTCCACCAGCAAATAAGCCAACCTCAGGCTAATCTATGAAGCAAGAAGTCGTCTGGGGGTCAGCGGAAAGAACCATATATGCTTCTAATGGTTGCCACCAGCAGTCCCTCAAGGAGCTCACGCGTGGAGGGAAGCAAGATACATGCTACAGTGATGGTCCAGTTAGCAAGGGGGAAGTTCAGAGCTGGCAGAACAGTCTGTGGCTGGGTAGTACAGGTTCCTGCAGGAGCTTTCTCTGGAAGGAGGGTCAGAGCTAACTGGGAGAGGTGGGGTGGCGTATCCAAGCCCTGCAGGGGCCCAGCTTCCTGCTGTCTATTCACTGACTTCCAGTTCACACCCCTCTCCTTCAAGGTGTGCAGCTCTGAGCCATAGTCAGGTCTTAAGGGCAAAGGGGTCAGATTTCAGGTCATCTCACCTCCCTGTTACACTGAAACTGACCCTGTTCACTTTCGCTATGTTTTCTTAAGTCTATAGCGCTTACCATCTGTTTTCAGTTTTGTGAAGATTCATGAAAAGAAATCTAATCCAGTTTTTCAAAACACTTCATTTTTTTAAGAAAAAATAGTCTCTTTTTTTCATTTTAATACTTTAGTGCTTAACAAATGGTATTTATTTATCAACACAATCTATGCAATTTCCCACCCTGATAATGCATCTCCTTTTCTCCTGTCCATTCTAACACTTACTGTCTTCTTGTGCTAGCTATTAAAGACTGAGAGGAATTAAAGATGTAAGCCAAAGCAGGTAATTTCCTGAAGAGAAGAAATGTACCTTAAATGATTTCTCTTTGTAAGATCTTTTTATTTGACTCTGTATGAAAACACACACCTACATACACACACACAACAAAAAGAAAAAAGGGTGTCTTTTAGATCTGTAGAGGTGACAGAAAACCTCTGAAAGAAGATTTTTAAAAAAAAAAAAAACGTATTTCCTAGAACCAAAGTGGGAGCTGGCCTTTTAGTCCTGTTGCACATTAATGCAGCTTCCCCTCCCACTGGGAAGCTAAGGCCCAAGTGGCAGTCATTACTGCCAATAGCACAGTTACCCAATGGATTCCTGGAAGGGCTTGCTTAAAAGATTCAGCCAGATCATCTCTAGGGGCTTCCAGTTCCCATCATCCCAGGAATGAAATATTTAGTATCATCTTTCTGCACCTGAGGCTGCTACGAATTAAATTCTTGCTGCCTCCATTACTGGGGCGGCCAAGAGCTCGATCTGTAGTGATTGGATATGAAGTGCTTAATGGCTGCGCTTGGCTAAGAAAAGGAGAGGAAAAGAACAGGCCAGAACCACAGTCAATAGTGGTGGTCATGGGCTGGAGAACAGACCCTCCAGAGATACTGTAGCTCAAGACGAATTTAATTGAAGCCCCCCCACCACTCCCTAAACCCACCCTGGTGACAGCATATTTTGAAATCACATTCCCTGTGACCTATAGTCACCCCCACAATGACAAACCAACCTGTACAAATGGTGCTGCATCAAAAGATCTTAACCTGGACAAGTTCACATTGGTTCCTCTTTTCCTGTCTGCTCCTGAATAGATTTCCCCAAACCTCTATGTTCGGCCCTCTGCTTTTCACTCCCTATACTCTCATTTTACATCAACTCCCATCAACTATGAGCTATGGGCATGAGTCCCAAATTAGATACTTCAGTGCAATTATTTTCTTGGCACATATTAACTAGTTAATAGTCATTTATAAATATTTATATATAAATGCTTAATAAATAATTGTTGAATGGTTGAATGTTCATTCACTTACTCACTCATGAATATCATTTCCCCCAATTTTTCGACTTACATTTCTAAATGCCTGTAGAACATCTCTTCCTGGATGTCTACGGTAGGATGAATAATGGCCCCCCCAAATATGTCCATGGCATAATCCCTGCAACCTGTGAATATTAACTTTATATTGCAAAAAGCACTTTGCAGATGTGATTACATTAAGGGTCTTGAGATGAGGAGATTAACCAGCATAATCTGGGTGGGTTTGATGCAATCACAAATGTCCTTACAGGAAGGACGCAAGAAGAGTCAGGGACAGAGAACTATGTGACATCAGAGGCAGAGACTGGAGTGATACAGTCCAAGCCCAGAAATGCTGGAGCCTCCAGAATGTGGAAGAGGCTGGGATCAGATTCTCCCATGGAGCCTCCAGAAGGAATCAGCCCTACCAACACCTTGATTTTTATCATCTTAAGCATGATTTTGGATTTCTCATCTGCAGAACTGTAAGAAATTAAATTTGTGTTGTTTAGAGCCCATATGTTTGTGGCTTGTGGTAGTTTGTTACAGCAGCAATAAGAAACTAATACTCATACAATGAGTATTCTTATGACATATGTGACAATACATGGGGTATCAACCACAGCTAATGGCTTGCTCATCCTCACAGCCTTCCGTGCTAGGGAAATCTGAGACTCCTTTGGTTTTTCCTTGTCCCTCACCCTTTCAGTCAAGACTGCCAGATTCTGTTCATTCTATACCTGAAATGTTTCACAAGTCTGTTACTTTTGTTTGTGGCCATGACAATATCCACAGTAGCTACAACACTGCCTGGCATATTGTAGGTGCTCACGAAATGTTTGTTAAATGAATGTGAGCTGCTGCCCTCTTTTTCTGATTCCTTCAAAATGTTTTTCCATTGTGTACAATTTCCATTACAAAATCTCTAAGGGTGGGGCAGTGTCTTTTCCCAGCACTCCACACAGGTCTGGAACATACGGTCACCCACCCATGGTAAACTAATACATGGACTTACTCCTTGTCACCAGCCAATTATTGAAAATGTTAGCAGTGGTGATGAGCACCACTTAGGGAGTCAGACAGAATTGGGTTTATGTGCATGCTTTATAATTATCTAGTTGTATAATTCTTTCTGGCAAGATGCTAACTTTTTCCCACTAGTTTCCTCAACTATAAAATGGAGATATGAGAGCTTTCACCATTTTGGCTGTTGTGAAGAATTGCTTGTACGCTGGGGTCTGGCTGGGAGTAACAAATGCATGTTTCGGGGGTGCAGGGGCACTGGCAGAAAGGAAAGGCAAATACTGGGGATGGGGAAGGCAGAGAGGCAGGCGTTTTGCATTCAATAATCGAGTACAATTTGGAAACACTTGCCTTGTGTAGCCCTCAGCTGCCTGTGAAATTCATCTGAATCTTGTTCTGTTGGCCTATGGGGTATTTTCAAATACAAATTAGGTTGGCCAGAATTCCTTTTCTGCACCAACTCTCCTGGGTGCAACTTAGAGGTTATTAAGATGCCTAATAAAAGGAGAGAGCACATTTAATAACATTACCATCAGCTCCATGGAGCTGAGCTGTGCGGGCCCATGGTGCCCCCGAGCCCGCAGCCTCCCCCCACTGGTGCACTTGCTTAGAAGAGGCCTTATAATTACCTACATTTAAAATGCACTGTGAAATCCACTGAGGCAGTCATGTCCCATTTGCAGGGCCTTTCTGCTCACACTACTCAGGCGACCCAGGGTCTGGCTTCTTTTGGTGGAAGCAAGAGAGGGAAAAGGATGGAGGTTCTTGGGCTAGAGTGGTGGCTGGTTAAATGAACACAATGGCAGATCTGCTAAGTGCCTTTGTCATCCTT